AAACGGCCCAAGAGCCCCCAACGACCTCCTCCATCGCCCAAGAGGCCTCCAAGATGGCCCCAGAACAGCCCAAGAGGCCTCCAAGACGGGCCCAAGAGGGCCCCAAAACGGCCCAAGAGGCCTCCAAGACGCCCAAGATGGCCTCCAAGACGGCCCTGGAGCACCCCAAGAGGGCCCCAAGTCGGCCCAGAGTGGCCCCCAAAACGGCTCCCGACAGCGTCAGACGGGCCAGGAGCCCACCAAGATGGCCAAAGAGGCCCCCGAGAAGCCCCCGAAGGCCCCCGAGAGGCCTCCAAGAGGTCCCACAAGATGCCTCCAAGAGGCTCCCAAGAAGCTCCCAGGAGGCTCCCAATATTGTCCCCAGAGGCTCCCAAGATGCCCCCTTTTCCTCCTCCTTCTCCTCCTCCTCCTTCTCCACCTCTCCACCTCCTCCTCCGCCTCCTCCTGATCTTCCCCGCCATCCTCCCGCACTTGTTCCCCGAAAGCTTTCCACAACGGCTGGGGGAGCACATGGTCCGATAGCTTGGAAGAGCTCTTGCCACAACGCTCGGCCACATGGGCGATCCTAGAAGGCAGGGGGCGGCGGTGATTCGCCGTAGGCGTCTTCGATCCGCCGCCCCCTTGTTCTTGTCAAAGGGGTGCCCGGCGTGCGGGATCCTTTCGGTTTGGGTTTTGGGTCTTTTTCAAAAAGGACTCTCCCATGGGGCTTCGGCCCGTCCCGCCAGCCACGCGGAAAATGCTACAGTCAATGCCTTTCACGCCCAAGATGGCCCCAAATGGACTTCAAAATGCCTTCAAGGCGGCCAAGATGACCTAAGATGGCCTCCGAGTCCGCCTGAGATGGTCCAAGGTGGCCTCCAAGACGGCCCAAGAGGGTCCAAGATGCTTCCAAGTCCGCCCAAGAAGCCACCAAGACGGCCCGAGAGGTGCCCAAGAGGCCTCCAAGACGGCCCAAGAGTTCTCCGAGAGGTTCTCCAGGAGGCCCCAGAGAGTCCAAAATGATGGATGTTCCTGAGGTTTTGAAGGATGTTTGTATTTGCTCCTTTTCGGCCTTCGACGGCCCACGAGGCCCCCAAGATCGCCCCCAGAGCGCCCATGAGGCCTCCAAGATGTCCTCAGGACTGCCCAAGAGGCCCCCAAGACGGCCCCAAGAGGGGCCACAGAACGCTCAAGAGGCCTTTAAGACGCCCAAGGAAGTCTCCAAGACGGCCCTAGAGCATTCCAGCAGGGCCCCAAGTCGGCCCAGAGAGGCCCCCCAAACGGCTTCCGACGGCGTCAGACGGGCCAGGAGCCCACCAAGACAGCCCAAGATGGCTCTAAGATGGCCCAAGACGGCCCAGGAGGCCTCCAAGAGGGCCTCCACGAAGGCCAGAAGAGGCCAAAATCATTGAGTTTTTTTGGGTGTTTGTAGGATGTTGACAATTGCTTCATTTCGGCCTACCGACGGCCCGAGACGGTCCAAGAGCCCCCAACGATCTCCTCGAGATCGCCCAAGAGGCCTCCAGGATGGCTCAAAAACGGCCCAAGAGGCCCCCAAGACGGGCCCAAGAGGGCCCCAAGACGGCCCAACAGGCTTCCAAGACGCCCAAGATGGCCTCCAAGACGGCCCTGGAGCACCCCAAGAGGGCCCCAAGTCGGCCCAGAGAGGCCCCCAAGGCGGCTTCCGACGGCGTCAGACGGGCCAGGAGCCCACCAAGACGGCCACAGAGGCCCCCGAGAAGCCTCCGAAGGCCCCCAAGAGGCCCAAGGAGGCCCCCTATATGCCTCGAAGAGGCTCCCAGGAAGCTCCCAAGAGGCCCCAAGAGTGTCACCAGAGGCTCCCAAGATGCCCCCGTCCTCCTCCTCCTCCTCCTCCTCCTCCTCCTCCTCCTCTCCTCCTCCTCCTTTGCTCCTTTGCTCCGTTGGCGTCTGGATCCCCTACACTGAAAGCGCGAACATCCAGAAGCAAAGATGGTGAGTCGGGGTCGGCTTCCCAAACACACCACGGATCGCTGCGCGCCCACAAGCTCATGCGGTGAAGAGCTTGAAGGAAAAAACGCAAACGAGTTGGCAGGCAGCAGACAGCAAGACAGCTGGGGGAAACAAGCCTCACTGCCTAAACGGTTTTCGAGCTGCGTCCGCCCCGCAGGGCTCAGATAACGACACCCCCAGCGCCGCCCCGATAAGCCACCCGAGGGGCGCCACTCCCTCGGGCGACCGCGCACCCCCACGCACGCCAGGGCGGGGGCCCCTGGCCGTGGGAAGGATGGGCGTGGATCCGCCATGAGCCCCCCGAAGGGGACCCCCCACCCGCCCAGGCACCCGCGGCGTACGGGCCGGGCCACCGCAAGGGGTGGGAAACGTGGCGACGAGGGAACGACACGACAGACGACGACAGCGACGGCGACGACACGACGGGGAAGACGGACCCCCCAGCCACGACTCCCACGGGGGACACCTGGCTGGGTAGCCAGGCTCCCGTGGGAGGCTGCGTGGCCGGGGGCCCCCCGGGAAGGGGACCCCGCTTTGGGGGCCGTCCCGGGCGCGGGGGCTTTTCCCCCGAAGGCCCGGCGGCCCCCGCCTCCGCCAAGGGGCACTTTGGCCCGACACCCCACTTATGGGGGTGCTCCTCCGGGGCTCCTCTCCTCCTCCTCCTCCTCCTCCTCCTCCTCCTCCTCCTCCTCCTCCTCCTTCTCCTCCTCCTCCCTCTCCTCCCCCTCCTCCTCCTGTTCCTCCTCCTCTTCCTCCGCCTCCTCCTCCGCCTCCTCCTGATTTCCCTGCCATCTTCCCCAAAATGCTCCCCGAAGGGTATCCACATCGGCTGGGGGAACACATGATCTGATAGCTTGGCGGAGCTCTTGCCACAACGCTCGGCCACATGGGCGATTTCAAAAGGCAGGGGGCGGCGGTGATTCACCGTAGGCGTCTTCGATTATATGGGAGGAGGGGAGGGGAAGGAGGGGGGAACAAAGAGAAGGAGGCGGAGTAGAGGATCAGGGAAGAGGATGGTGCGTAAAAGGGAGGAGGTGCAGAGGGACAGGGAGCAGGAGTGGAGGACAGAGGAAAGACTACGAGAAGGGCGGAGGGGGGAAATGAGGAGGAGGAGGAGGAAGAGGAGGAGGAGCAGGAGGACGAGGAGGAAGAGGAAACCGACGACGACGATGCCGATGCAGACGACGATCCCGACGGACGGCGGGGACAACGACGCCGACGACAACTAGCGACGACGACAACGACGAAAACAAGGAGAACGACGAAGACAACGACGACGACGACGACGACCGCCGCCTCTCGAGGCCTCCCGAGGTCTCTGGCGGCCCACAAATCAGGAAACCCTCCAGAGCTCTTCCCGAAGGGGGCCCGCGGAGGCCTCCTGGAGCCCCAACGTACGACGATGCGCTCTTTCCAAAGCGAGGCGCAGGGAGGATCCGGCCCCCTCCCCGGGGGTAGCCTTTCTGGGCAGCCCCTCGTCATTGATCCTGGGGGCCCCAGGGCCCGAGGCGTCTGCCAGGGCCAGGCTTGTCGGCAGAGCTGCCAGGATCAGGCCCAAAAGCCCCTGATGCTTCCGGATTCCCGGGCTGCGCAGCGTCGCCGCTTGCTGGCCCCGGGGCCCAAAAACGACCCCTGCCGAATCGAGAGATCCCCCCCAAAAAAACGCCGGCTGAACGTCAGACACTATGTCGGAACGGCGTGGGTTCCTCAAGCGCTTTGATCTGATAAATAGTGCAGTTACAAACAAAAAGCTACGATAGCGAACGCCGCACAATTCACTATATATATATATATATATGAATATAATCAAAACCTAACCTTGAATTCACACGTTGTATATTGTTCCCTACCTAGGCTCTGCCTAGAGGGTTCTTACTCTCTTTCTTAAAGGGGCCGGGCAGTGCACCCCGCCCCGGGCGGTTCCCCCAGTATCCGCCCCGCGGTTCCCCCAGTTGCGCCCCCTGGGTTCACCCAGCTAAGCTAAGCCAAGCTTAGCTTAGCTTAGCTTATCTCATCTTAGCTTAGCTTAGTGTTGCCTAGCCTAGCTTAGCTTAGCTTAGCTGAGCTTAGCTTAGCCTAGCTTAACTTAGCTTAGCTTAGCGCAGCATAGCTTAGCTTACCTTAGCTTACCTTAGCTTAGCGCAGCATCAGCACAACATAGCATAGCATAGCATAGCATAGCCAAGCACAGCATAGCATAGCATAGCATAGCTCAGCATACCATCGCATATCATAGCATATCGCAGCATAGCATAGCATATCATAGCGTTGCTTAGCATAACACAGCGCAGCATAGCATAGCATAGCATAGCACAGTATAGCATATCATATCATAGCGCAGCATAGCATAACATAGCACACCCTAGCGCTGCATAGCATAGCATAGCATAGTATATCATAGCATAGCAAAAGCAAAGGCAATGCAAAGCAACAGCAACACCAATGCGAAATTGTAGATGTAGATGTAGATGCATATGTAGGTGTAGGTGTAGATGTGGATGTAGGTGTAGGTGTAGATGTAGATGTAGATGTAGATGTAGATGTAGATGTAGGTGTAGATGTAGGTGTATATGTAGGTGTAGATGTAGATGTGAGTCTCGCTGTTGATGTTGATGTAGATGTAGATGCAGGTGTAGATGTAATTGTAGCTGTCGGTGTAGATGTAGCTAAATGCTCCAACTCCTAGGTAGGGTCGCACTGGGATAATTGCTAGGTCGAACAACTAGCAGACCACGTCGCCAGGAACCCGAGCATCGTTTACCCGATCCCTGTCCCCAGCGGCGTGGCCTGGGCCCCACTGGCCGATTTACCCCCCTAGATGGAAATATAGGCCGGATCCTTCGGGTTTCGAGGGGTGCATCCATAATTGGGGGGGGTAATTTGGTGGGGGTCTCGAAGGGGATGGGGATGGGAATGGGGATGGGGGTCGGTTAAACGATACTGAGAACCTGGGAGTCTGCAGGTCTTCCAAAGCGCGATGCCACGCGGCGGCCAGAAGCGTCGGCGGCCGCGACGCCGGCACGGGCGGCCTCTGGCTGCAAGGCGAGGGCCCCGGCGCAGGGGGGCGCAGAGGCGGCCGCTGGCGGGGCGGGCGCCGTGGAGGGGTGGCCCTCCTGGGGGCTGGGGGAATGGCCTGGCACAAGATCCTCGTACTCCACACTCTTCCTCGATCCTCCTCGATCCTCTTCGATCCTGCTCCGCCTCCTCCCCCCCTCTTCCTCTCTCTCCTCCTGTTCCTCCTCCTCCTCCTCCTCCTCCTCCTCCTCCTCCTCCTCCTCCCAGCCCTCTTCGATGCCCTCGGGCGTAGCCGAAGCGAACGAATCCTCATCCACCTTCCTCCCTAGGCAGACGGGCGGGCGGCCTCGTGGCGGGCCAATCGGACGTAAGCCTCACCTGACCTGCCACCGATTGAACAAGGGCCACTGCGAATAAGATTGTGGAGAGAAACTGCTAAAACAGGGACAGTCAACGATTCACGTGATGGGCGAGCGAGACCAAGTCGGGCGACGGGACAGGCAGGGACAGGGCGGATACGAAGGCACGGGAGAACAGCTCGAGAAAGATAGGACAAGACCACAGGTGGCGGAATGAGCGGTAGGATTGGGAACAACATGGACACGGCTCGAACCCCTGAAAATTGGACGAGGTGACCCATGTGGAGGAGGGAGGAGCGCACTTTTTCCCACTGGGCGAAGGCAATGATGCGCAAGCTGAGGGAACCACGTGGATAACCGACAAATAAAGAGTTCCTGGAATATATCAGGAAATATGTTATCATGAAAAAGACGGGTGAGATGACGTAAAGGATGTAGAGTGCGATGGGGGATGGGGTGGGATAGAGCTTTGAAGATCGTTGTCATGAAGAACAGCTTGTTGACCATGACGATGGATTTGAGGGACCTGAAGAAAACCTTGAGCAGCGGCAGGGAGAGCACTAGCAAACGGAAGAGACTTCCAGAACATCGGCCGCCAGAAGTCACGCCAGCTGTGACCACGAACGATGCTGACGAGAGGTAGAGCATCCTCGGCCGCAAGTCGGAGCCGATTCATGATCGGCTGGCGGCCAAAAGAAATGTAGCTGCGGGCTCTGACCATCTGTGCAATATTCACCACCCAAGCTGATCATATAGCTGGCCCACCCCACTTTCCGAGGTCCGGCCATCCAGCAGAGTCTACTCAAAAGCGCAAAGGCTTAAAAATGTTGGCGAGGATGGAAGCTTCTCCCTTCATATGCGGGAACATGAGTTGACGTTGACCGACATATGATAGGGCGGCGACGATCCTTTGGGCGCGCGTCGATGCCGCGAGGCTCGGGGGAGGTCCATCATCCGGGAGAAATTGGGCTCTCGAGAAGAGGTACTTGCTCCAAGGGGCCCCAAGATGTGCCGGTGGTAACGGCCGGGCGAATCCACGCGCCTAGGTAGAGGGCCTTCGGGGCGACTTCCATGTCCTTCCAGGCCGGGTGGAGGTCCGTAACATTCTCCCTGCAGCAACTGGGTCCGAAATGGCTGCCGCGAGCGGGCGAGCTTGCGCCCCCCCGCCTTCAGCGCGAGGTGCGCGGGCGCCTCGGCCTCGGAGAAGCCCGAAAAAAGTAGGCGCAGGTCCTGGAGGGAAACGAGGGCGGCCCCTTGGTCGTCAGCAAATGCTCGAATCACTCGTTTCCTAAACGTGGGCCAGGGTGGTGAGAGGCAGAAGGAGGGCCCAACGCTGGAATTTACAACGGAAGGGGCCGAGGCCAATGGCGAGCAGGGCACCGCTGACAGGACATCCCTGAAGGGTCCCGCTGGAAACCCAATGCGCGATGCTTTCAACACCCTCAATCAAGGCCGAGCAGTAGACTCCGTCATAGAAGCCCCTCAGGAAGGCAAAGTCGGTCAAGGGCCGCGAAGGGCCAGGCGCCGGACAGCGATGGGGGGGGCGCGGCCAAAGTCGAAGCAGAGGGGGGAGGGGGGGGGAAAGGGGGAATCGCACATAGACGCTTCTCTGCTGATAGTGTCCAGCTCAACAGCGTTGTTTCCAAAGTTTCACCCGTGGACATGCCCGCGCGGACCTCGCCGAGGCCCGCGGGGGGCGCGCGTGCGAGGGAACGGATGACAGCCCCAGCGGGGATTTCGTCGTCGCAACTCTTGAGCCCGAGAGGGTGAGTCTCCGCAGGGGGCCGACTCCCAGGGGGGGGCCCAGGGGGGGCGCGCCTTTCGGAAGGTAGACACCTCGCACAGCAATATAAACAGCAAACGTGATCTGGCAAGAAAGGACCCACTGCAGCGACGAGCGGAGCACGTCGACAGCAAGAGGGGCATGTTCCCACGCAGAGTACGGGAGACGATCGGGGCCAGGGGGGCCGCGGGGCTGACGGCCAATATACTTCTCAATGTCAAGAAAGGTGGGGGGAGGGAGATCAGAAGCATGAGTGAGAGGGGGTAATTGGTCCTGGAACTTCTCAGCCTCCTCATGGCGGTACTCCTCAGCAATGAAGATCGGCGACCAATGCCGACTGAGCTGGGCGAGGATCTCAGGCGGGGACTGCACAATCTCGCCTCGGTCCGCGCGGGCCCCCGACAGAGCTGTCGAACCGAACGGAGACCAGAGCTTCGCCGGTCGATTCAGTCTGCGAACGCGAGACGCCATGCGCGCGATCGCATTGGGATGGCTGAGGCTCGCGGCATGAGCTTGCAAACGACGCTGCGAGCGCTCGGCAATCTTGAAGTGGAGGTCGTCGGAGAGGGCGGCGAAGGAGGCGGCGTCGATGGGGGAGATGCTCTTGGAGGAGCAGTCGAGGAAGAGGTGATCGCGGCAGAGGGCGCGCGAGTGGTGGGGCCTGCAAGCCAGGGCCCAGTCCAGACAGAAGAAGGCATGCGCCCATCCTCGGGTCGCAATGTGTCGGGAGAGGTGGAATCGAAGGCGTTTCTGAATAGGCTCTGAATAGAAATCTCGCGGGCAAGTTTCGACGCTTCCACCGTGGGAACCTTGCGCCACTCGCGAGCAAGGGGCGCGCGCGCGTGCGGGGGGGGGGGGGGGGGGGCGGGATCAAAGGGGAGCGGCGCCCACCGCCCCCTCCAACAATTCACGGAAAAGGGCGGGCTCAAGAATCCAATTACGGCGTTGGTCTATCCCCGGCTGGCGCAAGCTGGCGAACTCGGATGCAGGCGGCCACGGGGGCGCAGTCGGAAATCCACGCAGCGTCGGGCACGTCTGGGCGCTCGCAAACCTCCCCCGACGAGGCGCATTGCGCGATAATCCAGCCAGGCAGCGAGGTGAACAAGCGATCCAGAAAGCCAAGGGTTTGAATGGGGGCGATTGAACTGGGAAGGGGAGAGGAGCTCCATTCCACCGCATTTATCAGGGCGGCCCGCTAATATTCTGGGAGGGGTCGGGGGGCGGGGCCAGGGAGCAGCGGGGCCCTCCTCGGGGGGGGCGGGGGGGGCGCGCGAAGAGAGGTTGAAGTCTCCCGCCACAAGAACAATGCTGTTAATGTGGTCCTGTCGCGCCTCGTCGAGGTCGGCCGTGAGCTTCTGGAACAGAGCATCCTTGACCGCGCGGGATAGGTCGCGGTTGTGAATGCTGTAGCGCCCCACCCGGCGCCGCCCGTTCGCAGCCTTCATCCCAGTGCGGAAATGCGCGACCATCGACGGCGGAGGAAGAAGAGGGGGGGGGGCTCGCCACCAGTCACCTGAAATTGAACTCTGGAGCGTTGAAATTTGGAAGAAAGGGTCAAAACTCCGCCCGCTCTGAAGTTCAGGTGGAAGGGATAAGAAGTGAGGGAGGGGAGGCGCAGGGTGTAAAGAAGGTCCTGGACGTCGCATGGTGCCCCATGCGTTACTTGAACGGCGACGATGCTTCCTGACTTCAACAACCTCCTGAGCAGCTTGACCCTGCTCAGGCGGGCTTCTGTCGCGGCGAAAAAACGAGCGAGCGCTCCAGGAGACGCAGCGGAGCGAGAACTGATTGTCAGTCTCGCCGTTGAAATCACCGCGCCAGGGAGCTGCGATCAAGCTCGGAGCCCCACGCTGCCGGATATGCTGGGCCGAAGGCGTTCTGAACTGCCTGCCGAGCACGAACTGCGTCCATCTGTCCAGCAGCGAGGTTGGCTCGGGCCCATTGGATGTTGGGGGCCCCCTGGCCCTCCAAAGGCAGAGCTTTGCACGAAGGCTTCCAGCCCGCGAAGACCTCGCCTTTGAATCTGTCAATGAATCGACGCTTGGCAGGGCACTCATAGAGAATCGCGGCCGTGACCTTTTTGCATCCAAGCTCTCGCTTGACCAGGCGCACGTTCTTGTCAGGACCAGGGCGAGCGAGACATGGCCATCTGCAACCGATGGTGCAACGAATGATCGCCATGTCGGGGGAGAGCCAGGTGGAGGACCTGAGGTTGCCGTGGACCTGGCTGGCCTTCCTCTCCGCCAGTTTCTTCGTGCCTTTGAAGCGCATCTCGAAACGAAGCGAGGTGGGGGTCTCTTCGCCGAACTCCCACTCAACACGGGCGATGTTGGAGTCCTTGAACCACTCTTCCACATATGATTCCACAGCTTCACGACTGATAAGCTTCTGCGAACGGGCGACGATGATGGTGGGATCGACGGGGCGGTCGAACGTGTTGGTTGCTGAGCGGAGCGCTGGCTGCGGTTCTTCGCTTTGGACCACCACGAGTTCACGTCGAAGCTCGGCCATCTGCTTTTCCACGGTTCCAATCGGGAGGCATGTTCTGAAGAGGATCGCTCGATACCAACCAGGCGGTGCTCCATCTGGCGATTAACCGCACCAAAGGACGTGTTGATGCTCGTCGAGAGGTTCGAGATCGAGGAGGCGACGCTGGTCTGCATGGCTGCGAGTGCCCTCTGTATGTCGGCCTGTATGGAATCCATGTGCTGGCGAAGCGAGGCGATCTCATGCGTCTGGACTGGGTCACCACCTGCACCAGCGGCGGGGGCGCCACCATGTCCGACGCTGCCCGCCTCGCCACGGTGCAGCTGACCACGAGGGGGGGCAGGGGCGGAACGCTTCGCAGGAGGTTCACCATCATCGAGGGCTTCGACCACCTGAAATTCATCAGCAGGACCTGAGTGAGAGTCATCAGCACGAACGGGAGTAGCATGCTGCGTGAGGGCGGAGGACT